ACCAGCTAGGAGGGTGGTAGGGTTAGGGCAGGGGTTTAGAGGTGGGGTGTGGGAGGCAGAGAAAATGGCTTCTAGAAAGAGTGCCTCCACTTTTCCTGTGCCATCCCACACTCGCTCTGTACTTGGGGGTGTGAGGAGGGAAGCAGAGCAGACCCCACCTGTGGACCAGGCCTGAGGTGCTCCCCCCAGCTGTGACCTGACCAGGTGGTTGTGAGGCTGCAAGGAGCACCAAAGAGCTTCCCACGTCAGGGAAGACAGTCCTCCCTCTCGGTTCTCTCCCTCCCACTCTCGACTGCTCTGCCCTCCTCTCGCCTGCTGACCACTGGCAGTTCCTGGTGAGAACTCAGACCTGCAAAACACTGCAAGGCCTCACGTTCCTTGGGCAGTGAGTGCAGTCTTCGCCCGTCAGGGCCCTGGGATGTCTCCACCCTTCCTCATCCTCAGTCATAACCGCTTTGTGTTGCACCATAGCCCGTTCTGCTTTCCTCCTCGGTTCATCTTTATCAGCCGGTCTGGCCCTCTTGCCCAACCTCATGACTTCCACCGAGAAAGCCAGTGTTGAGGACAGAGGATCGTGCTTTGGAGAGAGGAAGCACGGAAGAGGATGGAACACACTGGGTTCCTACCTAACCTTGCTGGGTCATGGTGCGTGTAAAGTCCTGACCGGTCAACTGGACACCACTGGCCTCCTCAGCTGTAGGGAACGCCTAGCCCCGCATCAGTGCCCCTCCTAACACCCTCCCACCTTGTCTGCCAAACTGAGCACACGTCCTTGGTAGCCCTGCCTGCACCCCCTCTCCATTGAGGTCTGACCTCCAGGACTTTGTTCAGCATCACCTGCTTTACCAGGCTGAGGGCTTTCTGAAGATGTGAGGCCGTCGCAGCATCGTTCTACCAATAACATTTCTCAAGTGGGCCGTGACCTGGTCAAGTCCAGCCTCTGTCTTTCCCAAACAGCGAAGGCTCCCTCCCCGTCTTCCCGCTCAGCTCGGTTATCTCAGTGAATGGTGAGTTGAACAGAACGGGAGAGGGAGGCTGGGAAGCAGAAGGGAGACTTGGGATTGGAGGGGACACTGGCGAGCTCATGAAGGATGAGGGGCAGAGTCCCTTCTGGGCTTTAAGAGACTGACCTGATAGAAAACGAAGAATATGGGCCATAACCATGCAAGTCAGTGTTTCCATCTCTTTGCTGAATTAACAGCATTTTGAACATCTGTCTACCAAGCTCAGGAAACAACTGGTCCTCATCCAGGAACTTACATGACAATACAGTAGCAGAGGGATGAGCAACAGCGGCTCACTCGGCTTTAGCTCATGGCCCTGGGCAGGATATGAGTCAAATCTGGGGAAAGTTGGGTGATGCTTAGAACCTTGGTCAAGGAACAGTGAGGGGCTGAGAACCTAATACAAGCAGGGCAGTCAACCTGAGAATGAAAGCATCTTGGAAGAGTCCCATCTTGATTTCTGGCCAAGGTGACTGGGCTGAGAATCACAGCGAGGCAGCATATGCGATGGGAGCACTGGCGCCCCAGCCCCTGGCCATGAGCGCAAGTACTCACTGAATTCAATCAGCAGCTTGCCGTAGCCCCGGCGCTGGTAGGGGGGCAGGGTCAGGATGCAGGCCACGTTGTAGTCTTCTGTCGATTCCTTTTCCTGAAAAGTGGCAGGTGAGTGAGGGGAGGGGCTGGCCCAGGGCAGAGCAGGGCTGAGGGAGAGGCAGGATGAGCTCACCTTGGAGAAGTAGCCCACAATGTGGAAGCCCTTGCAGTCGTACTCCGTCATGACGTAGAAGAGGAAAGGGTCTGTGTCGTAGTACAAGGTCTTGTGGTCGAGGAAGCACTTGGCCAGAAGACACAGGTTCTGGGAATAACTCTGCAAAGGAAACGGCCTGTCACTGCTCGGTGCCCTGATCCCAGCATGGCCACGGGACAGGGTCAACCAGGAGCTTCTCTGTAGCCCAGGCTGAGAGGGGACAAGCGTTCCTCCCTGAGACCCAACTGATTCCATCAGGCAGGGCCACTGTGCGGTGTTGAGAAGCCCATGGACCAGCCCATTGGCCCTGGGGGACCTCCACTGCCCTCCCCTATAGTTAACGACAGTCAACAAACTGACATGTACCACGAAGACTGACGAGGCCTATGAGAGCAGCTCTGCCCATGTGACAGTCTTAGGAGTCTGGCTGTCAAATAATACAATTCTTTTGCCTACAGTCACACCTCTTAGGAACTGACCTGATTGTCTACAACTGAGGTAAGGCATTCTGGAACTTACAAAAGTAGCCTTAGGAGCCCCCTGCCCAAAAAACCTATTAATTTTGCTATTTTACCTCTGCACATAATTTATCCTGCATTTCAGACATGACTTTTTAACTACCTGCTGGGCACTGCCGCCTGGATGCCAAGTCCACCCTGAATACAGAACAGTAGTTAAAGCAGCTCCCCCAGCACCCAAGCCAGAGCTCTCCCCTGCCAGTCAAGGTGCCTGCCTCTCCCTCTCCCTCACCACCTTGTAGGCCCCAGGAATGGGGGAGTCTCTCAACGGTCCCTCCAGGTTACTCCTCCCCACAACCACAGGCTAAAGCAGGCTTGAAGCTTCAAACTTACGGTGTCCCCAACTCTCCCCAACTGGCCTCATTCCCACCTCCTGAGCTCTGTCCCTTGTAACAGCTTTCCCTCATCCTCTGCCCTTCAACACCTACTATCACTATACATCCACGCCTGCCCTTCAGAACCCCACTGCTTGCGAGTCCCTTGTCCTTCATGTCAAGGCTCAAAAGTCACCTCTTCTGTGAAGCTTCGGTGACTACCTCCTCTGGGTCCTAATAACCCACCCTTTGCTCCAGGATACTTAACACACTGGGAGATCTAAAGTGGTCATGGGGCCTGGCTGGTTTGGCTCGGTGGATAGAGTGTCGGCCTGGAGACCGAAGGGTTCCAGGTTCGATTCCGGTCAAGGCCACGTACCTCGGTTGCAGGGCTCTGCCCTGACCCAGGCCCCAGTCAGCATGCGTGCAGGAGGCAACCAATCGATGTGTTTCTCTCACATTGACATTTCTCTGTCTTTCCCTTTCTCTAAAAATCAATGGAAAAATTGTTATTTGGATGAGGATTAAAAAAATAAATAAAGTGGCAATTGGTGTGTCTGTTTTCTCCATGGACTGTGAGCTCTCAGCAGAGATTTTTGTCTAATTCCTGGTCATGTTTTTATCTCCCAGCACCTGCCCTTCAGCAGGAACTCAATAAAAATGGGGTGAGCCAACTCGTTGGCCAGACTGGTGTTTTCCTAAGGAAGAAGCTTCTCCTTTGACTTCCCCCAGACTCCAAGTTCCAAGGGCTCCGCACTGTGCCTCAGTCACTGACCTTATTCTTCCGTCCATCAATCTCAAAGAAGGAGATGGTGCCTTTGCGGTAAATCTCGTTGCCTGGAGGATGTCGCAGGTCACACTTGGTCTGAGGAAGAGAGGAGGATCAGGGGAGGCGAAGGATGGGGTGGTAGGAGGGCAGTACCTGGGACCCTTCATACCAAGTGACGCTGCAGACACTTGAGGCTACGGCCATACTTGAGGCAGAACTCGCAGAGATAGAGGACTGGCAGTGTGGTGAGCTCCTGTGGGTACGGGGAAAAGTACCACGGCTTGAGGCGGTGCCGGCCCAGCTCGATGCACTCAATGTTCTTCATCCGGGTGACGATGTCGTCGTGGCTCCGGTCAGACACCAGGCTCCCGGTCATGCGCGGAGCTGATGGTATTCCATCTGAGCTGTCCTGGGAGTCCTGCCCAGGGCCAGTGAAAGGCACTGGGTTACAGGAGACTACAGCTCACACAGCACTGCCCGCCCCCCCAGGTTCTCTTGTTCAAGCCTAACAGCAACCCTGTGGGGGAGGTACTATATAACCCGCACCCTCCAGATAAAGGAACCAAGATTTAGAAAATTTTCATTGAAAACTTTGGAAAGATCGCCAACCAGTTCGGCTTAGCTCCTAATAGCACCACCATGGCTGCCCTCCACTGTTGTTTATTTTTAAACTAGCCACTAAACTCTCCACCTGCCTGTGTCCCTTCCTTTTTACTCAGCTTCCCCCGTCCCGAGAGCTACCTCATCAGTGCCCAAGCAATTTGATTTTCGCTTCCGTCCCGGCTGAGCTGCCACTGCCCTGCGGGCTGATCCATTCTGTAGATGAGATGACAGGAATAGAAGTGGCTGTGAGATGCGTTTGAAAGGGGCTACCAGAAGGTAGAAGAAAGGAAGGAGAGAAAAAGTGGTTTGGAGGACTCACCTGAGGAAAAACTGAGGCTGGGGCTGTCTCGCTGGGCACTGGAGTTGCTGGTGAAACCACCTCCACCTTCCGTTTCTGCAGAGAGAAACCAAGAAAGGTGGGTCAGAAGGTAGAGAAGGTGGGACCTGAGAGGAAAGCAAGGTCCCTGGAATTGCTGAGGGTACCGTTGAGCGGTGGTTGGGCTGCAGACAGGAGCTGGAGGAGAGCGGCTGGTCGGGCTCACCACCGGGAATGGCCTCCCGCTCCTTGGGCAGGTTGAAGCGGAGTGTGATCTGGACCGGGATTGGCAAGGTCTTCCCGCTGGCCTGCGCGGAGGCCGGCTGTAGAGATAGGTCCAGGGTCTTCCTCTGGGGTGGGGATGGTGGTGGGATGGGGCAGGGGAGTGGGGGGCCCCTCAGCATGGAGTCATCAAACCCCACCCTCTCAAGGACACAGGAAGAGCCGCTGGACTCAGGAAGCTACATCTGCGATTTGGTCCCCATCCTCTGCAAGCCGAAACCAGGATGGGAGGGTGCTGCCTCCAGCCCATCCAGGAACCACTGAAGCCAAGAGATGAGAGAAGTAGGAGGCAGGAGAGAAGAGGTGAAGTAGGGGACCTACTCACCACCTCTCTCTCTGGAGAGCCAGGGCGGGACCCAGGAAGTCCGTTCTTGGTGGGGGTCTTGGCCTCTTTCTTAGGGAACTGAATCTTCTTCAGGTCCAGCCGTTCGTGGGTCACCCATTCATCCAGGCGTTTGTTGACTGCAGCAGTGGGGATGGCTCAGGAAGGAATGCCAGAGACCATCCCCCAACTCTACCCAGCGGCCCCTCCTTACCCCAGTCCGGCACTCACAGTCAATGTAATGAACGTAGAAATGCTTCCTGCCACTGATGTCCTTCACGCTCAGGATCTCGGCCAGGGCTGGGGAACAGCATAGGGGCCATGGAAGGGTCAGGCCGGAGGCGCCACCCTTCTACGACCTGAACTACACTCCCAAGCCCGATCTCTAAGCCCCAGCACTAGGCAGCTCTCGCCCAAGCCCCTGGTCACCCAGTGCCACCCCCTGCAAGCCCCGCCCTACCCATCGCGGAGCCGCTACAAGCCACGCCCCTCCTGTGTATCTGCGCCCCGCCCGCCCCAGAATTCCCGAGGTCCCTCCTCCTCCCGAGGGTTCGGTTGACTCCCTCCCGCCCCTCGCCCTCAGGTCGCTTAGCCCCGCCCCCCGACGTCACTCACGCCACTCATCTTCGTTGTCCTGGTTCCGCCGCAGCACCGGCAGGCGGCAGCCTTCGGTTATCTCCCCCTGGGGAGACAGCGCGGCGCCAGGGTCGGCTACTGGGGGTCCTCGGGCTCTACCCACCTCCCCTGGCTCCCTCCGCCCCGCCCCGGGCACCGGACTCACCACCTCCGCCATCTTCCCTCCCTCCACTGCCACTTCCGGCCCCTCTGGGAGACGTCACTTCCGGGACCAAGCGCGTTCTAGGCCCGGGCTTCCTGGTGCCACTCCAGAGTAGGACCTTTGAAAGACCCCACTGCCCAGCTGGGAGCGGGAGGACGGCCCGTTTGCTGGCAGGGAGAATCGGGTGTTTTAAATCTCGGGCCGGGTCCTGGGTGGAATCTCCACAACATGCACAACGATTGGAGGAAAGCTGAGTCCGTCACGTGACGCTCACCGGGTGCGACGCCAGTCACGTGGGCGCCGCGCGGGTCACTTGCTACTAGTGTTTGTGCTTTGGGGGTGGCGGGCCTCCGCGTCTCCTAGTGGCTGTGGGGGGTGTCGATGGCGGGGAGAGGGCAGGTCCGGAAGGTTTGGGAGGCTGTTGAATTGGGTGGGACTGTGAAGGGACTTCATTCCTTACTTATGGGGATTCACAGAGTATTTCTAGGTTGTCTTGGACATTAAGTTTGTAGTTATAAGAACAATACAACATTATTCATTCAGACCATGTGTCAGGTACTGTTCCTGGAGTGTGGACTACATCCTATATAATAAAAGGCTAATATGCAAATGGACCAAACAGTGGATGACCTGTCGCTATGATGCACACTGACCACCAGGGGCAGACACTTGAGCAGGAGCTGCCCCCTGGTGGTCAGCGTGCTCCCACAGGGGGAGTGCTGCTCAGCCAGAAGCTGGGCTCACAGCTGGTGAGAGCAGTGGCGGTGGCAGCGCTAAGGACCCCTTGGGGGATGGCTGCAAGCCAGCTTAGGCCTGCTCCCAGGGTTTAAGCTGGCAGGCGGACATCCCCCGAGGGGTCCTGGACTGCAAGAGGGTGCAGGGCTGGCTGAGGGGACCACCCCCATACCTCCCCTGTTCACCAATGTGCACTGGGCCTCTAGTCACTAAATAAAGAACCTTGCCACCGCCACTGGCCCTTGGCAGAAAAGAGGTTCCCAACCCCTGCTCTAAATCTTTTCTCAAGTGGTGTACTTCCAGCCAGGCCTGCCCTGACCACCCTACTTAAAACTGCAACCTACCTGCCCATCTCCTGTCCCTTGTGCCTTCTTTTAAAAAGTGTGTATGTAACAAACAGTAAATATGTTATAAAGTAAATTATTCAGTATATTAAAGACAGGTAAGTGTTTGGGGAAACCAAAAAGAAGGCACAAGGGAAAGGAGATGGGCAGGTAGGTTGCAGTTTTAAGTAGGGTGGTCAGGGCAGGCCTGGCTGGAAGTACACCACTTGAGAAAAGATTTAGAGCAGGGGTTGGGAACCTCTTTTCTGCCAAGGGCCATTTGGATTTTTATAACATCATTCGAGAGCCATACAAAATTATCAACTTTATTTGGCCAATATTCTGCTTACAGAAACACAGTTCAGACTGAAAGATGCACACAGGTTAAAAGTAAAGGGATGGAGCCCTGGCCAGTTTCCTTAGTGGTTAGAGTATCATCCTACAGATTGAAGGGTTGCAAGCTCAATTCCCAGTCAAGGTCATGTACCTCAGTTGCAGTTTCCCCAGCCCCAGTAGGGGCACATGCCGGAGGTAGCCAATGGATGTATCTCTCTCACATCGATGTTTCTCTCTCTTTCCCCCTCCTCCCTCCCTTCCACTCTCTAGAAACCAATGGGAAAAGTATCCTTGGGTGAGGATTAAAAAAAAAAAAGTAAAGGGATGGAAAAAGATATTTCGTGCAAATGGAATTGAAAAAAAAAGCTGGGATAGCAATACTTATATCAGACAAAATATAGACTTTAAAACAAAGGCTTTAACAGACAAAAAAGAACTTAGGAATTCCACTTCTGAGTACTTATCCAAAGAAACCCAAAACACTAATTGAAAAGACATGCTAGCCCTGGCTGGGTAGCTCTCTCTCTTTTAATTAGAGTGTTGTTGTGATCTGCGAAGGTTGGGGGTTCTTATAACATATTTACTGTTTGTTACATACACACTTTTTCCCTCCCAACCTCCAATGGCCCTGACCAGTTTGGCTCAGTGGATAGAGAGTCGGCCTGCAGACTGAAAGGTCCCAGATTCGATTCCGGTCAAGGGCATGTACCTTAGTTGCGGGTACATCCCCAGTAGGAGGTGTGCAGGAAGCAGCTGATTGATGTTTCTGGCTCTCTGTCTCTCTCCCTTCCTCTCTGTAAAAAATCAATAAAATATATATTTTTTAAAAAGCAACCAATGAATGCATAAATATATGGAATAGCAAATGGATGTTTCTCATCAATAAGTAAATAAGTGAAAGTAAAGACATGCAGCTTTGTGTTCGTTGCAGCATTGTTTACAATGGCCAAGATAGGGAGGTGACCTAAGTGTCCATTGACAGACGAGTGGATAAAAGAAGAGGTGGTGCAAGCCTTGCCGGGTTGCTCAGTTGGTTGAGCATTGTCCTGTACGCCAAAAAGGTTGCGGGTTTGATTCCCAGTCAGGTCACATACCTAGGTCTCGGGTTTGATTCCTGGTCAGGGCACACATGAGAGGCAGCCGATCGATGTTTCTCTCTCTCTCTCTCCCTCTCTCTCTCTCTCTCTCTCTCTCAAAATCAATAAAACATCTTTTAAAAAAATAATAAGAGAGCCCCAGTCAGAGAAAAGTGGCTCACAGAGAAAAAAGCCAGGGCCCACCCTTCTACATTAGCTCCAGGATTTTGGCTTGAAGGGTGTTGTTAAGTGTTTGCTCAGGGAAATAGGCCTCTGTCAGGCTGAGCAACTTACCTCAAAGTGTCGTCTGCCTTCCATTCTACATGTCGCCAGCACAGAGGCCCTCAGCCGTTCCACCACTTTCAGAAGAAGCTAATGTGCTGAAGCAAAGGAGAAATGCTGATTGTTGTATCACAGAGACAATAATGGTGACACCTACAGATGATGCCTGTGCAGGTCGGACACAATGTTCAGCACATGGTGAGTACCCCCAAATCAATAGGTCTTTACCACAAACAAGGTGGTTAAGTGTTTTCAATAAGCCAATTGTGCCTGCTGTTGCAAAAATGACTCAAGAAGAAATAGAAACAGAATAGTCCTATGTGTATCAAAGAAATTTAATTCATAAATTAAAACCTAACCAAAAAATGCCTGGCTGGCATGGCTCAGTGGTTGAGTGTCGACCTATGAACCAGGAGGTCACGGTTCAATTCCTGGTCAGGGCACATGATTGATCCCCAGTAGGAGGCATGCAGGAGGCAGCGGATCCACGATTCTCTCTCATTATGG